AACGCCAGATTTGGGCGTTTTGACTTGATCAAACACAAGCCGAATGGCCTCAAAACCGTTATCCCACGTTCTGAGGGATTTTCGCCCACGTAGGAGCGGATATAGGGGTCAGTTACAACCTCCTATCCCCCTATAAAAACTCAACAAACTCAACTGAGTGAGGGGGTTCGATTTTTTCTTGGCTCAGATCGACCACAGGAGGCGAGGGGTTGGATTTCGGAGAATCTAAACCGCACAGGTTGGAGATTTTCCAATTATCAAAACCACTAGGGTTTGGTGATTCAGCAACAGCAGCAACGAAATCCTTGGAGATAGGATTTTTGAATCAAGCTCAGAAGATCAAATCTAAGAGGATTCTCCAACAACAGAATAACAGCTTGATCACTAACCAAATTTTCGGTTCTAACAACTCTATTCACAGAGTTCTAACTCGTTCAGAGTTCTTAAACTCATTCAGAATTAAACATCAAATTTTCCACAGAAGTTCATCGTTCCCACGAGATAAGAGACGGTCGGATCGTCAACGGAGAGCAAATTCGACGCAAGCAATCGAAGGAGGCATTCCATCGCTACCGAGAAGAACCCAGTTTTAAACAAAGGAGAGAATCAAATTCGTTCTCTTCTCTTTTGTAATCAAGTTGTAATCGGAATTAAAGGAATACAAGTCAATTTTCTTTATTCTTTTCATTGTAATTTTTCCTACATACAAGGATCCACTTTTAGTGACAGCCATAGAGCATACGATAAGCAGATATACGTACTCTAAGCAGTCTCCGATACTAGTTTGTTGTAGCGGGGGGCTTTACAGACACAGAAGATGTTTATATAAGAGTGAAGAATAACAACACTGAATAAACACAGTGAAAACAAAGAACAACACACAAGGATTTAACGTGGTTCGGTCAGTATGACCTACGTCTATGGGCGAGAACAGCAGAGAACTTCACTAATCATAAAAGAGAAGATTATAAAAGAGGAGATCACTCTCTAACCAGAGAATTACACAAAGAAATACTTCTCTTTCTATCTCACTCTCTTCTCTCAAACTCACTTTTTCTCTCTGCTTATTTTGTGTTCTAAACTCTCTCTCACACCCTCCTTATATAGTTTCCAAATAATAATAATAAATTAAAAAAATAGTTGTTGGAACAGCAATTGGGAGTAGGTGGCATAGTGATGTTAGGTAAATGGAGAAATTTTCAAAGACACGTGACAGTAACCCATTCTCTGCCTTCATNCACTAAGTCCATAGACCGCAACCTGGGAACAAGTCATTTTGAACAGCCTCTCCAATTTCTTCTGAGTTCTAATAGAGGTATTTTCTAGCAACACTTAAAGCAAAAAATATACAAATATGACATATTATCCTCTCCTAATTCGATATCGAAATAATGTTCATATTGGACAATAATGACCAACCTGCACAATTGAGTCACAGTTCAAAGATTGGAAGATATAAAATAAAACATAGCATAATAAAATTTTATTTGCATGCTAGTTGTTACTTTTACCCGAAAGTTTCAAGCAGAAGGCTAAGGCAGCCAACAATTATGTACAACACTCTTTTTAATAAAACATACGGTGATTTTCTTACTCTCTAAGGCTCCGTTTGGCAAGGGATTAATATATGGATTAAGAGGGTTTAACCCCTCATCAACCTTCCAAACAATAAAAAATCCCAAAGAGAGGCAATGTTATGATGTGGCTGATAAAAGAGAGGCAAGCATATTGTACTTTAATTTTTAGGGTTCAAATGAATGCAAGTTCTAGTTGAAGTCATCTCAATATATTAATTAATTATTAGAATTTTTTTCTACTTTCAGTAAGGTTAAAGTTAGTATTGTTTAAAAAATAGAGGGATTAACCTTCTTAACCCTTCTTCTATTGCCAAACACAATTCATGTTAATAATTCAATCCAAACGGAATTAAAATATTTTTAATCCTCATAACGGTTTAACTAAGTTAATCCTTCTACTTAACCCTTCTCTCTTCAACCCTTGCCAAACGGCACCTAAGGGAGAAGATTTTGAACATTATTTGCAACATGCCTCTAACTTGTGATCTCCTTACAATCAGTCACATGTTTTACTATCTTTCTTAAGATCTTGTTTTTCTTTCTTAAGGTGAGTTTCCTTCTCTCTAAGGGAAGATGTTTTGAACATTTTTTGCAACATGCCTCTAACTTGTCAAATCCTTACCATAAGCCACATGTTTTAGGTTTTTTTTTCAATAAAAATCACCTTTAAAATGGGGTGATTGTATGAAAACCATGTTCAAAGTTTAATTTAAATAGAAACCACCTTTAAAGGAGATTCCGCTTACAATCAACCATCTTGACCTGTTTTATGATGAAATATAAACTAAAAATCCTAAAATATCCATAAGAAACCACACGTGTCGAGCACTAGATTTGGTTAAAAAGGCATGTCACGTGCTCAGCACATGAGTTTTTAAAGGGTAGTTTGGAATTTTTGGTCAAAATTTCATCACAAAACATATCAAGGCGGTTGATTGTAACTAAAACCTCCTTGAAAGATGGTTTCTGTATAAATTGAACACAATGTGGTCTTCATATAATCACCCTATTTTAAAGGTGGTTTACCTAACAAACCCCCATGTTTTACTACTTAAATTCTTATTCATTACAGAAAGTAATTTTAGTTGCCCTGAGAACTAACACATAGCATGCCCTTCTTTCAATTGGAAGACAGTTACATGGAGAAGAAAAAAACATTTACTGTCTTCCCAGATCGCTCACTGCTTCCATTCTGATGCCTTGGTGGTGGTGGTGACAAGCTTTATACAAAAACTCAAACTAATGGATTGCAGAGTAACAATCTTGTAGTCATACCCCAGTTTAAATGCTCAATCCTCATTAGAATCCAGCATATAAGCAACCCTTACACTGCCTTCTTGCAAGCAACAAGATTGAGTCTGTCTTTATTAAAACTAAACTATAAAATAAGGACACAGCCATATATCATATACTCAGAGAGTCAAGAGTGCTTTGAGCCAGTTCTTGCGTGCTCCATTGAGGAGTCATAGATATGATGTAAATCAGACATTTCAACATCCAAAGAATGCTCAGGGTAAAGGTCATTTAGATTTATGTATATTGGACATGACAATAAGTGACAGGTGATCAACTAAGGGGTGCTTCCATTGCAGGGGACCTACACGCCACAGAAGAGCAAGAAATAAAGGGTGGTATCTAGGTCGTGTAGAGATGGAGTATTGATTCATGACTAATTTGTTTCTTTCTTTATTCTTCTTCTTCTTCTTTTCCCTGTGAGAGAATAAGGGCCTTAGCCCATTTTATAGAGAGAAAAAGACATCAGATACAAAGGTTGGAAGAGAGGGTATGATATGAGATCCTTGGAGTGAACTGGATTTTGTTTCTACTTCTCCTATGTGATTATACTTTGTTAATTAGGTTGATATTAATACTATAGAGAATCCTAATTATCATGGAGAATGAAGTACAGAAAACTAGCTTGGCTTGTTATCTTCTCCGATCAAAAGTCATAACTGAATATTTGCTGACTCATAAGATAATTGGTTCAATTTGTTTTCAACAAGCTAGTCATGTGCAATGTCTGCGCTTGAGCTATAGAGGATGGGTGGTAAGAAAAATATATTAGAACATAAGGGGTTCTGAAAAAGAGCAACATACGTATATCCGAAAAGAGAGGTGTATTGAGTCACTCTCATAAAAATCTTTTGTGCAGATAGCCACTCTCAACTTTAGAGCTAACTGGGATAGGATGGTTCATGATCATCATGTTGTGCTATTTTCTTCTCATTTGAGCAAGTTATGCTCAACTTCCACTGTAGGAATGCCAGTATCTCATGGTTGGTTTCAAGTCTTACTATAAGGATTACTTTGAAGAACATTCTTGAAAAGTTGGCTAGGACTCATAATAAGGTCACAAGTTGAAATTAGATGATAATTATTGTGGTTCTTGGAGGACAATATATAGATGTATCAATGATAAGATCAGATAAGTCCAATCCATTTTTTCTAATATGCTATTTTTACGAAGACACAGGATCCTATCGATTAGGATAGGTTCACGACTTATCTCATTGCCAGTGTAACAGGTTAGAACATCGGATGAATAATTGTGACTGGAGTTAAGGACATCCATTCCATGCCGAATGGGAACAACTCACGGTTCATCTCGGTTTCATTCTCGAAAAAGAAATCACTATGACACTGAAAACTGAGAATAAAGAGAGGAATCATTATGAATTGATCATCAATTAAGAAAAGGAATTGACCCTGATTTTTGGTGAAATGGCTCATCGAGCCAAACGAAGTCAAATCTTAGAAACCCTAATCCACCATCAAACAGCAAATTCAAAGTTATTGCAACGAGAACCCCGCACTTCCCCCCACAAAAACACCCCAGATTAGACGCTAAAAATGCACATTAAATAACAGCAATCAGAACAAAGAATCAAAAGCTAGCCCTAGGAATGAGAATGCGAAATCCTCACTGACTCCGATCTTGAGCAAGCGGATCGATCGATCGATAGAGCGTCGGAGCCTGGAATAGGTCATTCGCCGGTGACATTGAGAGCTCAGAAACCCTTGATTGAAGAGAATTCGGAAATTTTTGGCGGGAGTGGAGAAGTTTGATTGGTGAACGAGAGAGAGGGACG